ACGAATCAGCTGATCGAGTTTTCCGTAGTTATCTGCTTCGGTTGCCGGCTTTTGCGTCTTCTTCTCTGCCTTTCTAAGTCTTCCGAAGCGCGAAATGCAAGTGAAAGATAAAAAAAGAGAAGAGAGGAATTATATTTGGCATTAGGGAAAGACTAAAAATTCCGGGGTTATTGGCATTCCGGTCAAATTTGGGACATTTTCAAGGAGAATTGAATAATCGGGGATTTTATTTCACGTTTTTGCATATTTCTTTTTTATTATTATTATCATTTTTTATTACGTGATCCTTAGGGGAGAAAATGTAGGATAAAATTTTAAGACGCAAATTTGAGTTTGAGGTTCGAGTTTTTTTGTTTTTTTTAATGGATTATGTGCATCGTGTATCAGTTCACTTTAGAAGTTGTACGGGATTGCATTATAAAGAGACAGATAACAAATCACTTAAGGTTGAAAATGCCTTATGGAGCGTAATATTTGACCGGCAGCATTTTTGGTTGAAAATTGGGGCATTCACTCCACGTATACCATGCAAGATATACTCCTAATAGATAGGTCTATCTGTAGACATATTGACCGCAAGCAAGATAGGGAAGATCTAATGACACTCCTAAAGGGGGGAAAATTATACTCGCTGATGTATTAACCCTGTGCTGCCGGGTGGCATGAATATACAAGCTATGGCATGCCTAGACCATATTCCGGGTGGTATGTGCATGAGTGCCATGGTGCGCCAGTCCCAATTTTCAGGGGCATGTACGGTTGTGCCGCTCGTGCTATGGTGCCGATATGATCCCCGGGCAGAGGGGCCTGGGCCACTATGAATACAGGGAGAGAGGGCTTTCGCATCGGGGAAACCACCCAGCGGCATTGGGTTAACTAATATGCGCAGATAAAGAATGGCGTCGGGGATGAAGAAAATGGGTCGCAACAAATGCCACACATGGTAGTCAGGTCGTGGGTCAGGGTTTAGGTCATGCAGCAGTCAGGTGGGAGCGGGGGGGGGACTTTTGCCACTAGGTTTTTAGTTTATGCAGAAATGTTTGTATATTTCCAAGAATGTTTGGAGTAATATGGACTTCGTCTCAAAGGGGTGTGGTCACTTCTTAGATTAGATACTTTGTACAAGCAAGGGAAGAGGATGTTCCTTTTGATTTCACTTTTAGTTAATATTTTTGGCCCTCATGCAATGGGAATTAATTGTTAATGTAGTTGGCTATTACTATTAATATTGATCAATATTTAAAATCAAACCTCTAATTTTCATCACAAAACTTTTTATAAATATGTGCAAGGAAAAAGGTCTGAAAATAGGTTGCAACAAATGTCTGAGAAACCTTGGTTATTAAGTTTTTTGGTTCATGTAGCGATGTTTGTGGATTCCCAAGAGTGTCCTTAAGTTTCTTGGCTAGAGTAATTGGGGTTTTGTAAGCAATTTCTAAGATTAGATTTGAAATTTCTTGGGAAACCTGAATATTACAGCCATTGGCAAAGATGGGCAAAATGGGCATCAAATGTTGTAGTGATGTATGGTCTTGGCTGAGATAGAACTTGGGTTTGTGGACCCGGAAGTTTTTATTTTATATAATTATTAATGTCTACTTGAACTGATTTTTTAAAAACTATTCAATATTTTCTGATCCCTCACAATGGTCACATAGATAGGAAAATGTGGCTTCTGAAGATATTTTCAAAATTATTAAGTTTTTTGGCAATGATACATTGCATACAAATTGAGATTATCAGGTAATTTTTAATTCATCTTTTTTCCTTGGTTACTGTTAATAATTTGGCAGAGAATATGCCAATTATTCCATGTCTTTTAATGAAAAAGGAGGAAAAATATTTGTATCCAGAAATACATATTTGTATCTCATTCTTATCTTTTCTACAATTGTTACAATGAACTGTTTAAATGAGGAAAAATATTTGTATCCAGAAATACATATTTGTATCTCATTCTTATCTTTTCTACAATTGTTACAATGAACTGTTTAAATGAAGACTGATTAGTACTTCGAATAAAAGAGAAAGTAAACTGTTTATAAAGAGTATAAAAGAGGTTTGGGAATTTAAGATATAGCAATGTCTTTTTATATTATTAATTAAAGATTTAATTTCAGCTTTATTTATATGATTATTGTTAATTAGTAGAACATTGAACACCCTTTTCAAGTTTTTTGAAAGTTAATTTTATGATTTTTAACGGTAATTATAAATTGATTGGATGGTTTTGTCTTTTCAGTGATTTCTTTCTTTTATGATCCTTAATAATTTTTCTGTAAGTAAAGTTTGGAAGTGTGGCCAGGATTTGCATAATGTTTTTATAAGAAATGCTATTTATGGTCATAACATTTTTTGTTTTTGGCAAACAGGAAAATAGTAAATCACATCAAAACAAGAATGCCTTCAGCAAAAAATGTAGATATTTAAGCAGTTATACAAGACACCCTGACTAGTTGTTCAGGATTGGATGTGAACAGACAGGTAACAGGTCAGTATTTTCCCTGCCACATGCCTGTAACATTCCATCTTTCAATCTCTTCACTGCAGTTTTTTTTTCCCCAATATGTAAAGGCATATGTTTCCCCTCCCCCTGTATTGTTAGATGTTATATGCTTGAAAAATGTTACCAAAGAACTGGGTACCTGATGCAGTGAAGAGATGAAAAGGAGCTTGTACCTATCAATGTGGTTTTGATTATGGGTTTTGCCAGTTTTTTTTTGTGGTGGTTGACATCTGGGAGTGCTTTAAGCTACGAGAGAGAGAGAGGAAAAAAAAAAAAAAATTACACATGCTGTTAGAAGATTCCTGATCCAGTTCTTGCCATAGTCAGCCTAAGCTTTTGTGAGTGTTTATAGGATGCTACCCTGTAATGCTTTGATTTAGTTTTTAAATCCTAGGAGGGGGGAGGGGGATAGAATGGAGATGAGGAGGGAATATGTGACCATGTGGATTGAAGAAGAGTGTTGGAAATTTAAACAAGTGAAGAAAGAAATTTGATGCATAACCACCACCCATGCTGTTGATTGGAGGATTTGATATAAAATTTACAAGTAATAATGGTCACATTACAATCTCCTGCAGAAGGCAAACATGCAAATGCTTTAACTTTCCCCTAATATGTCTATTTTTACTCTTTAGATGAAACTAATATGTATATAAGCTTTATGGGGTTAATGTGTTGCAGGTACTGTGTAAATGATTAGTATATGGAAGAAACATTGTTTAAAAAAAGTGTACATCTTGCAGTATACATGTCCAAGATTTGTTAAATGATGCAATACTAAAAAAAAAAAAAAAAAAAAAACTATAGTCATTATGGATTTTGGCCTTTTGTGAAATCCTTGGCAAAATATTGGTACTTTATTTGTGGATTCATGAGCTTAGAGCACTGATACCATGTGAACAAATATATTCAAGGCGAGAATAGTTACACATGCTGTTAGAAGATTCCTGATCCAGTTCTTGCCATAGTCAGCCTAAGCTTTTGTGAGTGTTTATAGGATGCTACCCTGTAATGCTTTGATTTAGTTTTTAAATCCTAGGAGGGGGGGAGGGGGATAGAATGGAGATGAGGAGGGAATATGTGACCATGTGGATTGAAGAAGAGTGTTGGAAATTTAAACAAGTGAAGAAAGAAATTTGATGCATAACCAGCACCCATGCTGTTGATTGGAGGATTTGATATAAAATTTACAAGTAATAATGGTCACATTACAATCTCCTGCAGAAGGCAAACATGCAAATGCTTTAACTTTCCCCTAATATATCTATTTTTACTCTTTAGATGAAACTAATATGTATATAAGCTTTATGGGGTTAATGTGTTGCAGGTACTGTGTAAATGATTAATATATGGAAGAAACATTGTTTAAAAAAAGTGTACATCTTACAGTATACATGTCCAAGATTTGTTAAATGATGGAATACTTTTTATTATCCATCTTTGTATTTAAAGAGAAAAATATCAGAAATTATAAAAAGGGAAACAGTGTAGTTTGATAGACAAGTGAGAATGATCATAGGAGTTGATTTAGATTGGCCTTCCTCATATCAGTTATACATTTGTTATTCTGTTTGTTTGGTAGAGTAGAGAGTTCATTCTGTTATCACCTTAACAAGTGTGTAGACAGAGTATATAAAAGGGGGAACCTAAATTAGAGAGATGTATGGAGAAAATGTCAAGAGAAAAGTAGATGGGATAAGGGAGAAAAAAAAAACATGAATGCTGTCTAACAAATTTGGCCTTCCTCCAGGCTGCTGTCCGCACTTTCACCTCCAGCTCAGTGCGCCGAGCTGCCACAGAAGTTCACCCTGGCTATAGCAAGATCCGCAGTACCATGAACAAATTCCAGGTTAGTAGAAGGATGAGAGTTTGTCAAGTGTTTTTGTCTGCTGATTCTTCAACAGTAGTTTGATTTAATGAATATTGTTTGACAGTAGGAATATATATTGTGTGAGTATATACATTTTATTTTATTTGTTGTACTTACTGGAAAGTCCTTAATTTGTTGTAGGTGTGCCAATTTTTAAAGCCCATAGATCTAAGATGGAAAGATACAGAAATCATAACTAGTATGATTAATGTAAGCACTATTATTATAGTTTGATTTATTATTAGTTCTATGATTATATTCCATTTGTTGATATCCATTTTTCTGTTCTCTACAACACACCATTTGATCCATAAATCATTCTGTAACCTAAAATACCTTCTTCCCTGCAGATTGATAACGGAATGCCCATCCACCTGAAGGGAGGTGTTTTTGACAACCTTCTGTTTGTAAGCACCGTCGTACTCAATGCCGTTGGTCTTAGCATGACTCTGGGATTCATTTACGATATGAGTTTCCCCAAGAAGGCAGAGTAAAGACTCCATAGAAGAGAATAAATATTTATATCATCCTTCAACAAGAATAATCTCGTGTATATATGTGTCTGCCATTGACGCTATCATAAAACTGTACATGTCAGATCAATAAATTTTAGAAAGGGAACAATTGGTTTTCTTTTCACAGTAAGTTCTGTATGTATTCAATACAGCTATAGATTGTCAAAATCTGTTGTTACTTTTTGGATTAGACCATTTGCATACATTCTTTTCTAGAAAGCTTTCTCAAGTGCTCTTGCAAAATACAGTGAGGTATGATAATCAATATTTCATATTCTCATTTTTTTGGTGATACAGTAACTATGTAAATGCCATATACATATGAGAGAGAGAGAGAGAGAGAGAGAGAGAGAGAGAGAGAGAGAGAGAGAGAGAGAGAGAGAGAGAGAGAGAGAGAGAGAGAGAGAGAGAGAGAACACTATTAGATAAGACATACATCCAAAGTTACTACTTGTCGGCTAGTTGCCCTGTATATGAGCAAAGCGTGTCTTTTAAACCATCCCGAGCAAAATGGTTTAAGATGAAAACATAAAGCATGGAAATTAAAGAACAGTATAGTATGTGTGAGAAAGTTGACAAAATGTTATGTCCCATTCACAAGGGGAACTCTCAAATACACACAAGCTCCATAACCTTTCTCTGAAGCATCATGAAAGGCATAAAGTTCTAAACCAGACAACACTCTCCAAGAAATTTCTGTAAAAAAACAATGATTCATCTTACAATACTTCAGAACTGCATATATGACCTTTTTGCCACAATACTGTAGCATAGCGCTATATGACCTTTGATGTCTAGAACATTTATTTGTTTTAACCATTAACCATTCAGAGCTGCAATACTCTTAACCCAATGCTGGAACTTGTTTTGCAACTCCTTAGGTAGTACTTCATCCCAATCAAGCATACATGACAAAGGGACTAATCAAAAAGCTTTGGAATGAGACTAAGAACTGCTCTTTTTTAGCAACACCAACTGTGCCTGCAAGTCTAAATCAATACCTTCAAAGACAAACTGGTCTGTTAAGGAGAACCCCTTCATACCTAAAACCTTAATGAATTTATGTTCAATGATCAATATTGTCACCATGATCAAAATTGTCATTGAACATTGTAGTCAATAATCTACAATTTGAATACCATTTAGAAAGAGGAAACCCTGCTAAAGCCAAAATACTCTGTGCTTCTTTAAACTTATTGCAATTTTTTTCAGCATTCAGTCCTCTATGTAAAGGTTTTCTTTTAATTCTTCTATGACTTCAGTATTAGGAAAGGACTGTAAGTAATATTTAAAAGTTGCATTTAGCAAGAAAATGGCTACTTGTATTACCAAAGGGAACACGAACAACCCCCATAATTCTAATGGAGTCTGCATTTCCATAGAAAGCGATAAACATCTTGGGCTTCTTGCCAAACACAAATCTGTAAGAATGCCTTTGTAATGTTAGCAGTCAATGCAACCCTCCACCTTCTGAAATGAATCAATACTTTCACAAAATTTGGATTAAGTGAAGGACCAGACTGAAGACAATGATTCAAAGAAATGCCATTATAACAAGCTGCAGAAACATCAAAAACTAATCTTAGTTGAAGGGTAAGCCTACTTCACAACGTCCCTCATCAAACACAACATTATCACAAAACAGAATCTGAGGTAAGTGGGCTAGGAACAGTTTCCTTTCCAACAGATTCTAAATCCCAAAATCCACGTAGATCAGAATCTGTTACATTTCCCATGCACTACATAAGGGCAGCCTCAAAATTTCTTGTTAGAAAAATCTGTCCATGAGGCACATAAAAACCCAATCAAATACAGACTTTTGGGCTCTTAGTTCATTTCTCTGATGTGGCTTTATTTGAAGATCCATTAATCTCCAATAAGCATCCAAGCCCCTAAGTATATCTATACTCACTTGGCTATTATTCTTGTAATCATCAGCAGGTTGGAAGTTTTACTCAATTTACCTGGAGGAAACTTACTATCTCCAAAAGCAGCATATGTTCCTAGCTCTCCCATTTAGGCTTAACTTTCTTCACAGGATTACTAGACACGTATAATCTATCAGAGCCAGTGCCAATAAAGGTGGCTTCACATCAAACACCTGGATCACCATGCACTTTAACTATAGCCATTTGTAACACACAGGCTATTTATGTTAACACATTACACTTGCTAAGAGTCACCCCAACAGGAATCACTTGGAGATTGCGATTTTCTGAAGTTTCAGCAGTATCACTAACCTTCTGATCATTCGTATCCTTTTCCATAGCTTTACCTGCATTTATTTCACCCTTTGATCTACACAGAAGTGAATTGTGATTTCCATTACACTTGGATCAACTGATTTGACAACCATGCTCCTCCTTCAGACTATGTGTGAAGATTTGATGCAGATGGCACTCTTCCTTTCTCCGAGTCCAGAAAATGTCCTTCCGTCTTCCCCATCACGAAAGTTTCTTCAAGGATATCTCAATTCTCTCAATTTCTCTCTGAAGAAATTGCAGCAGACAACTGACACCAGAGCCCTCCCTAGTCCACCCTATCCTTATCTCCTCAGGAAGGCGTGACAGGATGATAGGGGTCAGGAAAGCTTCGCACTACTTCCCATACACTCCTAAGGCCTCCAGACTATGGATGTATGTCTCATTCGTCACGAAAATTCCACAAAGAGGACACACTTAGGTCCCTTGCCTTTCACGGGAAAATCGCTATTCGAAAGTGCCAGTACATGTGCAAATATAATACATTCAGGTCTTCCAAATCTTTCAGCAAGTCACAAGCAACTTGGTAATTTGCCTTGGTGTGTGCAAGTCCTTTTACAACAGCTTTTGCACCTCCTAATAATGTCAAATTAGAAGCTAGAATCAACTTTCATGAATATGGAGTGCCTACTCAACATACTAGTAGAGTATGATGTCGTAATTTTCCAGATAATACCATCAAGAACGCAGTGAAAGGTATTCAAATATAGTGACATGTTAATATTTTCATATGTTTAATACAAGTATGTAGCAAAGTTTTTTTTATTATTTACATAAGCATATAAAACACTGCATTACATTACGCATGGAAACGAAATGACTATTGTAGAAAATTAATTTCTATTGACTACAATATTTTCATATCCGTCGTTTATCTATTTACCTGAAAATGGATTACGCAATTCCTTCGGATTGATGGTGAGATCAATCGTTTGCCAGTTCTCGGGAAGCGATTTATTAGTATAATGGATTAGGAAATGTATTATTTGGTTATATTCATTGGCACATATAATATAATTATAGGTTCACTGAGTAATTTAAACAAATGTGTATCATTAAAAAGCTTTAATTATAACGATTTACAGAAATTTACAAACATTCGAACACGTCACTCCCAAGGGCGCCACACGGCGTCGGGCAGCTCTTCGATGCGACTCACGGGCTGGCTCAGACGCTGACGGAGGCGCCTCTGCTGGCTGAGGATCGCCACCACGACCACGTCCCTTGAAGGAGAAGCCTGTCGGACCTCGAAGGGCGAGGAGGAGGGCGCCTGCAACACCCTGGCGAGGCTGGAGGCGACTTGGTTGAACGTGCAGCGGTCCATAGTGAGCAGGAGGGAGCAGGTGTTGATGGCGCTGGTCACCTGAGTGATGTGGTGCCCCGTCAGGCAGCGAGGAGATTTAAGCTGGCGAGGGGCAGCGTTCCCTCTCGCTCTCAGGTCCTGTCAGGGACGCTTGCCGCCAGGTCACGTAGGTCAGCCGGTTGACTTCGCACAGGAAGGGGCACTGTTGATATCACTTGCGCTTGGCCAGTATGTTATGTACTATATGTTATTTAGAAACCTGTACGGATTACTGCCTGTCTGTGTAATGAATTAAACATCATCGAGATCCCCACGGACAATAAACATACTTACAATAGGGCAAGCCAACCGATCCTCCGGCTTGGGGATAATTGGGCAGTAGGAGAAGACTGCGAATTTGTTTTTGGACCAGTAGTGCTTGCAAGCTAAAGCTCTGGCTTGGAGGCGCGCAAATTGACGAAGGGAAGTGCGATTTAACTCACAGCAATGTACCAGGAATGTGCCATAGCCTCAAAGCCCTTTCCTTTCCGTCTGGCAACTAAACATCAGTTACAGTTTCTTCGTTGTAAAGTATGATCTCTTAAAAGGGCTGAGCTATAATGTACTGATTACGAATCATGCGCAGTATATATTTGTTCTCATTTTAGGCTGCAGTACCATAATTAAAACATCTAAAGTCGATATTAATTCACACTTGCTACACTTTAACAGGTAAGTGACGCACCTGTAAACATGGAATGGATGGAAACACACACATGCATATATATATATATATATATATATATATATATATATATATATATATATATATATATATGTGTGTGTGTGTGTGTGTGTGTGTGTGTGTGTGTGTGTGTGTGTGTGTGTGTACACACACACACAGATAGATAGGTAAATAGATAGGTAGATTGATTGATTGATTGAGATATTGACTGAAAACAGATATAGAGATAAATAGATAAATGGATAGATAGGAAAGAAAATTATTGATAGAAAATCTATAAATAAACACACAAATAAATATAGATGATTATACTTATAAACAGACATAAATAGAGCCAGACAAATAGACGAACAAATTAATATAATGATAAACAGATAGGCAGATTAATGTACAGACAGACGGACGGATAGATAGGCAGATGAACAGATTGAAAGAGAAAGGAAGTAGACAAATAAGTAGACAGAGAAAAAAATAATAAACAGAAAAATAAACAAAATTGTCAGAAAAAGAAAAAAAAGTGGTCAGAAAAAGAAAAAAAGTGGTCAGAAAAAGAAAAAAAAGTAACCTGAAAAAAAGAAAGAAAAAAGAAAAAAAATAGATAGAGGAAATACTAAATAGACAGAGAAAGAAAAAAATAACTGACAGACATCCACAAAGAATCAAACAGACATCTCAAATATGTCACTCGAGGCCAGTGGGAAAAATGTGGCCCTTGGGATAGTCCTAAATGGCCCGCTAGGTGTCAAGAACAATAATTGTCTTGTGAAGAGTATGATCGTTGTGAAGGAAATATATGATTAATAAACCAATTTCTATTCGTG